TCAAAACGAAGTGTTGATGGTAAACATGATATAATTCGATTAAGTTTATAGGATGATGTTGAAAAACAATATAATTGACTACGAGATGTTAAAGCATATAATGATGATGATGAATGAAAACGTAGTTGAAGTAAATTTGTAATGGAAGAAAATGATTGTTCAATATTTTGTTCATCGGAATATGTTTTTATTGGTGTTACATTCAATTGAGATTGAATATCAAGACCTAAACAAAAACAAAAGTTCTCTCGATATTTTTCATCAATAATTGATATTACCTTGAATAACATAAACATGTAAACCATTCGTATCTCCCATAGCTATTATAACTTGTTCATCATCTTTACTTTTTTTTACAGTCATAGCAACTGTATCAACACGTGCTTGATGTTTTGTTTTAATCTGGACGAGATTTTTAGGTGCTCGTTCAAGTATATCTTCTCCATTATCATTAATACCACCTTCTTTACCTATTGACCATAATTCAATATAATCTCTATATGTAAATAGAAAATAATTTCCTTTCTGATAAATTTTATTTCGATGTTGAGTAAAATTAAAACATTTTCGCCATAAAACAGGTGGTTTAGAATTATCACGAACAATATCATGAACAAGTAAACGTGCATCAAGTCCACCTGATATTAACATTAATTTATTACTTAAATTATGTTCTTTATTACGTATGGAAGCAAAACGTGATGGAATTAATGTTAATGATCGAACATCATGTGAATGTGAATGAATTGATATTGTTTTTATCCATTGTTTTGTTGAATCAATCGTTGTTGTTGTTGTAGTTGTCGTTGTTTCGGATTTTGGTGAGACAAGTTCGATACGAACAATAACGGAATCAACACCAGAACAAAATAATGTTTGTTCATCCGATGATAACGTCATACAAAGAACATCAGCACGATGAGTTTGAAATGATCTAATAGAAAATTAATATTTTAAATCTCAATCCTTTATTTGATTTATCGTAATAACATACCGAATTAATGTTCCATAAACTGCATCCCAAACACATGTTCGACCTGATGAATCACCACTAAAAACTGTGTAATCATCAGTTACTGCTAAACACCAAATAATGGTATCTTTTTGTCCACGTCTATTTGATGTTGATGATAATTTTCCAACATTAATCTGTTGAATAGTACGTTTTTGTCTTGTTGAACATATATAAATTCTATTTATACTTCCAGCAACAAGAAAATCATCATCAGTTGTATGCCATGCTAATGAAACAATACGTGCAGATTGTTTACATACAGATGTAGCTAATGAAAATTGACTTGCATCCTACATAAAAAAAAACGTTTTCTTTAATATTATTTTAAATAGAAAAAATTCTTTACTTCATCAAGTTGATAAATATTCACATGACCAGTTTCAGTTCCAACAGCAATTCGTCGAGTTATTTCATGTTTTGCAAGACTCCAAATTGCTCCACCAGCAGCATGACATGATGTTAAAATTTCAAATGTTATCGGATCATATGCAATTAATTGTCCATCAAGACCAGCTGTAATTAAATATTGTTCAAGCCATAGAACAAGTTCAGGTGAATGTGATGCATTACGTGGTTGAATTGTACGTTCAAGTGTAAATGAATCATGAGTATTCCATAATTCAATTGAATGATCAGAACGAAGTACAGCTAATAAATGATTTGATGATGAACTATGATAATGATGAGATAAACTTAATATAGATGAAAGACGTGGTTTATATAAATGAGTACGATGTACGAGAAAATCACACATATTGATTTTTTTTTTATTGAAAGATTAATAAACTTTTTAAGAGGTTTTTCAACTAAATACGAAAAGGTTTGCTTTGTGTTTTGAACATCTAATATGATTCGTTGATTCGATGTTAACCAATTGATAAGATAATAAATTGTATATATAAAAATATTTTATTCAATATTTATAATTATTCAATAATGTTTCTAGTGTTTAATAAAATAATCAATTCTAGTACAATAGATGTCATTAGTTTTATTTTCAATGGTAAAGAAAACTAATTGGATGTTTTGCTCTACGAGATAAAGAGAAGAGGATAGAGGGCGTATTATTATTGAGTCAACGGCGTAGCCAGAATAATGGGCAAACTTCTCTTGTGTTAGAAAAAACGATGGGGCAAGATTTTTATTGATCGATCAAAACGTTTTGGTCTAGCAAAGTACTGATAACGTAGAAAAAAATGAAATGAGATTCTTTTTATCAAACATGCATTAAGCTCAGATCTTAAGCTCGAGTTAGATATATTTTAGTGTCTCTATTTCAAATTCAAACACCAACGAGAATAAGAGTACACGTGTATTTCAAATCGACGAAAAAATAAATTTCCAAATGAAATGAATATTTGCTTCTCCCCTGGCTACGCTACTATATTGAATGTATATATATATATATATTATGAGTATAAAGTGATCTAATTATCATTACAAATAAACTTTACTTGTAGGGTTTGATCTATATATAATCAATGCGTACCGTTTGATTAAATTGAAAGCATATAATTCTCATTATATTCTTATCAATCGAACTATCATTTACCATCTTGATGTAATACTATTAGAATTAACGCTAACATTTAATGACAAGTCAGTATGATACTAGACCACCCACCCTTCGACTAGAATTCATGGTTAGATATTTTTCTTTTTTTATCTATACTATTGTACAAATGTCATTCATCATACTCATTAGCGAATCTTATTGATATTCAAATAATAATTTGGATAAAAAACTTGTCTATTAAATAAAGGTCAACTAAATTCTTCAAATCGATTACATGATATAATTCGTTTTTATTATTTTGTATAAACAAAAATCTTTACAAAACAAATTACATTAAGATATATTTATTATTCCTATTTGTATAATCGTAAGTGTTAGTGCCCTTCAATGAATACAAAATACAAAGGTCTAACTCATAGTAATATGTGGCATATTGTTTTCTTCTTGTTATATATATTGACATGTTGATGACAGACTGTCTGACGCATTATATGATTTATCAATATAGACTATTCTGGTTTAAATCATAACAATAGATGATAGTTCTATTCATTGACTTTCGATCAATCTGTAAACATAGTTTTCAACTGATTTTTGTTTTTTTGAATATCATTTATTGTATTTAATTTACATGCATACAAATACATATTGCTATCGGTCATTGTAAAGGAACAAGGTAACAAAAGGACGGACGTTAATAAACACAAACAGAGAAAGAAGAAGAAGAAGAAAACGAACGAAGATAAAATGTATTCATTAAATAAATATTTTTTGTTTTTTTGTTTAGAATTTTTTTTATCAGTTTAAGATTTATATATATATATATATATGTAAAAGAGAAGACTTAAAAGAGAAGATATTATCACAGAAAAAAAAAATTCTTTTTTTTTGATGTTAATAATTATTAGCTTTCAATGTTTCAGAAGATGATAATGAAATTGTTGAGTCAGTTGGAAATTGTCGTTGAAGAATCATAAGTACAGAAGATACATCTTCAGTTAATTTTGTTTCTAATGTTGTTAATCGTCTAGAAGAAAAAAAAGGAAAATAATGATAATATAATAAAACAAAAACATTCTCTTACTTAGTTAATTCTTGTAGTCGATATTCTATACTTGATTGATATGCATCAAGTGTTTGTGATTGATTTGTCTAAAAGAAATTCTCTTATAGAATAAAAAACTCTTAGTTTTGTTTTCTTCTATATCATACCAATGGTACTAAATCATCAGGAGCTGCTGTAAATGACGATCTATGAATTGCATTCAATGATGATTGATTACCTAGAATGAAATTGCATCAAGAAACAAGTATTATATTACAAGACAAATTACCATAAAAAATAGAGGCACCACTGAAAGATTTTTCACGACGATCACGACGTCGAGATGCTGTTGAACCAAATTCAAGATTAGCTGGAGTTATATCTTGACCTGCTAATTGAGGATTAAATTCTAATATACCTAAAACAAAAACAAAACCCGAGTAAGAAAAGAGCTAATACTAAAAGTATAATATTATATCCGTATACTAATATTTGTTTTTCTTATTTATAATACTAACTGTTAAACAGGGTCGACTATATCCAAAAGGCATCTCATTGATTGTCTTAGACGCTCACATGATATTTTATATATTCGATCGTATTTCATTTTATAAATAAATAATTATTTGCACGTTAAGCATTACTAAAGTACATACAATTAAATTAATGATCAATTAGCTATTCGATAAATAGAAAAAAACATTTGACAATCTAATAGTTTTTCTATCTTATAATTGAATAAGCGAAATAAAAATATTATTATTATTATTTTTCATTTAGTATTGACAAATAGGTACACACATACACACACACACACATATTTTTTTATTATATAAATTTTAAAATAGATAAATGACGAACTAACGAAAATATACGCGCATTGCGTCGCTAGTATTTTGCGTGAGATGACTATTAAGAATAACATTTCTGATAAGAACTTGTTTATTTTCTTTTCTTGCTAGACAATACTGTTGATATATAGTTTTTGTTAGCAAGCAAGCAAGAGAAAAAGACAAAATTACTCAGTGAAAAAATAAGATATGCAGCCGTATCGTAGGAGAAGGAAAAGCAGTAAACAAATTTTTTGTTTTTTTCCCTGTTCTTTTACATATAGTACTCAGGTCATTCGCGTCATACGCTCTGTATCGGCTGACTAGTGTCTGAATGTCGATCTTTTTTTCTCTTCTATATATGCAAAGATATCTGTGTATATAAAGAGCAATGTTAGGGGTGTGGATATATCTGTTCGTCTCATCACCAGAGATGAGATATCAGCTCCCGTGTGTGCTATGTATTGTTCAGGAGAAATATATTTTTGGATACACGACCGAGAATAGGAAAGGGCAAAATGTTTCTATTCTTTATGATTTTTTCCAGATTTTCTTATTTCGCAATTCTATTCGCAAGTACACAGACAGAGAACTATGTCAGACACACAACAACAATCCACAGTTAAAGTTGAAGGTAAATACTTTACTATTATATAATATCTAATAATTGATGATTATTAATCTTTCAAATAGGACAAGATGCTACTCAACAGTTAAAACATGATGCCGAACAAACAGGTGACGAATTATTCTGACTAATATTATTTATTTGTTTATCTATAACAGGTGCTGAAGTTAAAGCAGCAGCAAGTGAAGTTACTGATGTAGCTAAAGAAAAAGCTGCTGATGTTAAAGATGCTGCACAAAAGACCGCAGATGATGCTAAAGCAGCTGGTAAGGTCTTTTTAGATATTTAATTAAATAAATAAATATGTAATATCTTTAATGACAGAAAAAAGAATGATTGTTTATTCAAATGAAGATTAACTCTTATTAGAAAGTATTTTTTTTCTGGTAAAAAAAAACAGCAATTTATTAATAACCCAAGGGAAAAATTTTCTCATCAGAAAATTCTCAACAGACGAAAGCTTCCTTTCCATATGATTAAAAAAAATAAAAATAATAGTTTATTATTGAAATTCACATAATATTTTCTTAGGTGCTCAACTAGCTGGTGAAGTAAAAGACGCTGCAGAAACTAAAGTTGAACAAGCAAAAGAAGCTGGAGCACAATTAGCTGATGATGCCTCGAAGAAAGTTGATGAAGTGAAAGATGCTGCAAAAGAAGCAGCAAGTGAAGCAAAAGATGTTGCACATGAAAAGACCGAACAAGCAAAAGAAGCTGGAGCGCAATTAGTTGATGATGCAACTCAAAAAGCAGATGAAGCGAAAACTACAATTGTTGAATCAGCTATACATGCTAAAGATGCAGCCGTTGAAAAAGCACAAGAAATTGGTCATGCTGTATGAAGAAGAAAACTCGATTTATATTCTTAATTTAAATTTCTATTTATTTTTAGGCTGTTGAAACCGTTAATGCCATTCCAGGAGCAGTTGCTGATGCTGCTAGTTCAGTTGGTGAAAAACTTGCAGCTGCCGGACAATGGGTAAATACTTTATATAGAAAAAAAAACTTTTTTTTTTATTTCTTGCTCTTTTTTTATAGACAGCAGACACAGCAGCTGCAGTTGGTACAGCTGTTATTAATTCAGCAGGAGAAGCATTACATAGGTAATGTTGATTTAAAAAATAGTTTTCATTTCTTTTTATCATTTGTTTTTATTTAGTCTTGCTGAAGCTGCTACTGATGCTAAGAACAAAGGTAAGTTTTATTAGATAAGAAAAACCACGAAAGAAAAATATTTTTGCACTTATTTATTTTGTAGTAACTGAAGTCGTCGGTCATGCTATGGATAAAGGTAGACATAAAATTTAATTGAAACTATAAAAACTAATTACATATTCGATAGGTAGCGAAAAAGTTGAAGAAGTAAAAGATAAAGCTAACGAAGTAGCAGCTGATGCTAAAGAAAAAGGCGAAGGTAAATAATTGTTTTTTTTTCTAAAAATCATATGTCTATTTTTATATGAATAGAAGTCAAACAAGATGTACAAGAAAAAGGTATAATTGATTTATAATCGACACTTGTTTTCTATTAGTAAATATTTAGCTGGTGAATTAAAAGAAAAAGCATCAGAGAAAGTTGATGAAGCGAAAGAAAAAGCCCAAGGTAAATTATTCTGAAATATCTCGAAGCAAGACTAATGAATTCTTTTTTTTTATATAGAAGTTAAAGAAGGTGCAGAACAAAAAGGTTTATTTTAATTCATTAAAATGGATTTTGTGAATAAATGTATTTGTTTTAGTTGATGTAGTTAAAGATAAAGCTAGCGAAGTAGCTGCTGATGCAAAAGAAAAAGGCCAAGGTAAATCTATCTTTTATCAAGTAAAATTTTATGATTTATTTTCAATAAATAGAAGTCAAAGAAGCTGTACAAGAAAAAGGTATAATTATTTTTTTGGCTTTCAAATTATTATTTATTTTCAATATTTAGCTGGTGAAGTAAAAGAACAAGCCTCCAAGAAAGTTGATGAAGCTAAAGATAAAGCTAGTGAAGTCGCTGCTGATGTAAAAGAAAAAGCATCAGAGAAAGTCGATGAAGCTAAAGATAAAGCTAGTGAAGTCGCAGCCGATGCAAAAGATAAAGCCCAAGGTAAACTATTCGAAAATATTATTAAATAGAACTAATAAATTATTTTTTATATAGAAGTTAAACAAGATGCAGAAAAAAAAGGTTTGATCATTTCTCTTCCGAATTATTTTTTCAAATAAATTAAAATATTTTAGTTGATGAAGCAAAAGATAAAGCTAGTGAAGTAGCTGCTGATGCTAAAGACAAAGCTGAAGGTAATAAAATCTCTAAATACTAATCATATTTGCTAATCTTAATTTTTAAATAGAAGTTAAAAGTGATGTTCAACAAACAAGTAAATTAATTTAAACTCAAATAATTCTTTTTATGAGATTTTTCTATTTTCTAGCTCAAGACCTTCCAGCAAACAGTGAGGTACATACATCCCCAACAGGTACTGTTTATATTACAACACCACCAGCTGATCAAAGCGTACCTGCCAATACTACTACTGAAGCCAAATAAAAAACAAAACACAAGTACAAGACTAAAGTTTTCGCTTGTTTACAACCTTTCTTCTGTTTTAATTCGTTGTATACATTATCCTTTCTTGCTGTGTGTGTGCGTTTATTTATTTAACCTATAGTGTTGCTTTAAAGTTTTACTGAAACACTAGCGCGTACACCTTACGAAATAAATCACTAATATATTATAGTTCAGATTGAAATTTTATTATCTTTTATCAAGAGAAAAACATTATTTTGACTATCAACAATACAAAATTCAAGATACGATCAATCATATGTAAAAATATCTGTAAATAAATGATTACTTGCTTTATCCTTATGTCCATCAGTTGCTAGTAAATATAATATATATCTCTTTCTGTCAATCTTAACCATAATCAATGAGAAACTTTCTTTTTCCCACGCCTTTTATATCAAACTCTTCGGATGATGTTTTTGTTATAATAATAAGTATTATATTACCTGTACCACTAGGATATTCGTCAAAATAAGATTGATGTGGAGCCATTATTGATATATTATCATCTTCTGTTCGATTAAATGATGCGCCTTATATAGATAAACGAAAAATAACTATAAATTCTATTAGATAATAACGACTATTTACTTGTTCGATATTGTTGTTGATTTGGAAAGTATTTTGATCGACATTCATTTGATTTTGTAACAAGTTCTTCCTTTAAAAAAAAGAAAAATAAAGAATTATTTTTTATAATAAGAAAAAAAACTTACATCACGTAATGTGAGAGTAATTTTTAAATTTTGACAAAAACTTTGTGCAAATTCTGGATACATTTCAATAACTTCAAGTAAATCATCACGTAATATTTTATGTAAATCACAATATGTTAATGCTCGGACATTAAAAGCAGATTTTCCTGGTTCACTATATAATAAAGGATTTTCACCAAGAATATCATCTTTACCTAAAAATTAATTTTGTAAAAAATATTATTCTTCATTTGAAATTTTATTACTAAGAATAGCAACAACATTATCATCTTTTAATATTTCAATTGAACCACGTGATATAAAATAAATTGATGTTAATATATCTCCACGATGTGTTATTATATCACCAGGCGGTGCATGTGTAGTTTTTAATTTCATTGAAAATGTACGTAAACAACCTTCACTTGCATCTATACACAACAATATTTATATCAAATATAAAACAAACAAATCATTATCAAAAAAAAAAACCTTTAAATGCAGGACAATTTTTAAGTAATTGACTATTTAAATGTAAACATATATCAGCTTGTAAACATTCCGGAAAACCTTTTAAAACCATATTCATATCAATACCACTAGATTTGAAAATAATTTACAATTATAAATATTATAAGAATAATTATTTACTTCGTATAATTCCATGCATGATTAAAATAATCTTCCAGACGTTGTCGTAATGGATTTGGTATTTGATGAAAACGAATAAATTCTTTAACCCTATTTATTAAATAAGAATTATATACAAATAAGTCATTATTTATTATTTTGTATGTCTACCGTAACATTTGTATTTGATAACGAGCTGTGCCGGAATATAATCTTTGAATAATAGCACTGACATTACCGAATATACTGGCATACATCAAAGCTAAAAGATAAAATAAATGAAAATTACGTGACATATTATGTACAGAATATTTTGGATATATATATATATGTATACATAAAAGCAATATCAATCACATGCATTTTCTTTTTTTTCAAAACTATTATTCACTCTTCTCACATCCGATTAACATAACGAAAATAGAAAATATCTTTTCCATATTTGTATTAGGACTGACCTAAACATATATACATATATATAGAATAAAATCAATTTTTGTTTTTTTGTTTATTCTCTCTTACATTGCCAAATCCGACTGATGTTAGAGATGAAAATGTAAAATAAAGTGCTGTAATATATCTTGAACGAAGATTCGGTCCACCAAAACAAGTATTCGAATCTATTTTTGTTGTTAGAGTTTGATTTGAAGATGATATTAGAGAACAATTATATGTTTGACCCGATGTACGTGCTAATTCATCCAGCCATGTTATGCGTAATCCTAAAATAATAAGCGAAGCAAACACAAAATAACAACACAACATTAAAGACAAATAACAATATTTAAATAGATACGAAAGCAATATATAACAACAAGAACTCACAGCCTACGAGCATAATTATAATTGAAAAACCCTTTTCACTATTTGTATTTGGACTATAGACAAAAGAAAATATGTCTAAGATAAATCAAATACAAAGAAATATACTATATCTAACCTCACATTACCAAAACCGACTGATGTTAGAGAAGAAAAAGTAAAATAAAGAGCTGTTATATATTTGGATGTTTTCGTTGGACCCGATGTTGCATCTGAATCATTATAATACTGATGTGTATGATTAGCTAATTCAGCTAACCAACCAATCGTTCTTTCAGTACCTAATTAAAAAGAAGTAAACTCTCAACTCAAAGGCCATTATATACTTTTTTTCTTTTATATATTATCAATGCTATCTAATTATTTACCATGATTATTTCGTTCAAGACGACCGATAGCATACCATATACAAGCAAGCCAATGTGCAATAAGAGCAAATGTAGCAGTTAATAAAATTAACACGCCAATACCGTATTCCGAATAACGATCTAATTTTCTTGCTATACGTACTAATCTTAAGAGACGTGCAGTTTTTAATAAACCCATTAATACTGTTGATTCACCACCACCTTTTGTTTGTATTAATGAAAATAAAATATCAAATGGTATAGCTGCTGTTACATCAATTAAAAACCATCCTTTTAAATAATGTTTAGCTATTTTACTTGCACGTGTTACTAATTCTTCATTACGTTTAACATATGTTGTACGTAAATTTACTAATAAATCAATAACAAACATAACATCAACAATAAGTTCAATAACATTTAATGCACGTGATGGACGTGAACGTTGTTTATTTGGTCCATCTTCATGCATTAAAAATGCAGCTATATATGGTGTAACAATAGCTGTATAAATAACAAGTAATAATATAAACCAATCCCATACAGCTTTAAATGGTGAATAATGAAGAATAATTGTATGTGGTACACGACGACTATCAGGTAAACGAAAATCAGGTACGATATCTTCACCTAATGATAAAATTTGGGCTATATGATGTGGAATATTTGGTAGAAATGAATGTTTGGTTTTTTTTGATTCTTTTGATTCATTTTTCATAACAGTTTCTAAAAAGATAATTATTCTTTTTTTTGTTTTGTTTTGTTAAGAAATTGTTTTTCTTTACCAGCTATATTACTAATACTTTGAGATTTATTTCTCGATAAATCAACATCATTAGTATTATTATTTGAATTCCATGGATTATTATCAGGTTTTAAGAAATTATTTGAACTTATCGATGATTGTTGACTAATTTTATGATCAAGAGGAAAATTTTTCGACGTCGATAAACTTGTTTCATCCAAATGAATTGCTGTTGTATTTTTATGATTTAAAGCTAGTTAATAGAAAAACGATCAAAATTAATTACTGCTATTGTATTAAAAAAAAGAGTAATATATTTTACCTATATAACCAGGTGTATCAGGTGCTGTTACAGGACTTTCAAAATCATTCATATCTCCTGTTGAGACATCATTTATTGGAGTTGCTCGGTGTTTTGATAATGGATTTAACATATCTAACCATGAACGTTTACGTATACCATCTATAATAGATAATCATAATATAAATAAAAAATTCTTAATAAAATATTAACATACTTGTTGGACTAATCGAATATTCATGAATTTTAGCTAGAAGATTATTATATAAAATCAATTGACCTTCTGATAAAATAAATTAATACATACGTATTCGTCGTTGACGATTAAGATCAGTATTCTCAGTAAATTCAAGTATAAATAAGATAATATCGCATGATTCATTTTTAACCGGTGCAATAAGAACTGAACATCGGAATTTCATACCTATATTATAATAATAATTTATAAATAAAATTCTCATTTTTTTCAATTATATTATACCAGTATTTCGATATAGAATAATTTCAACTTCTTTTTCATCACTTCCTTGTAATGCATGTCGAATTTGTTTAATAGGTTTTTCACTGGTTTCAATACCATATAAAAATTCACATGTACATGGTTTTTGTATTATATCTGAACGTGAATAACCAGTTAGTTCGCAAAACGCATCATTGCAATAAATTATTGGCTTATTAGCCAATTGAGCATTCGATATAAGAAAGCGTCGATCTAATTAATAGGGGGGGAAAAAGAAAATATGTTTATTTCCTTATATAATGAATATAAAAATTCACATACTTTGTGAGTCAAATTTACGTATAATTGTATCAATAAATGTATTTTGAGGAGCCGAAACATGACCCCGTTTCATCGGCATCTTTAACGGAAGCTCATAAAAATATTGTCATCATCTTGAAGAAAGAACGGAAAAACAAAAAATGTATGCATGTCGTTCGAGTCTAGGACATATTACAGAAACATATAGCATAGAAAATGCGACTTTCTATGTATTAATATATATATATATATATAAATATGTATGTGTATGTAGCCGTTAAAGAGAGATAGCTTGAGACAACCGGAAGTGTTTGACGTCAGTGAAAGGATACAGAACATTGCGTCACGAGGAGAACACTGAAAGTAACAAGAGAATCAAGGTCGCTTATTGGATATATATATATTTGTGTGTGTATATCCTGTTGTGCTTCCTCTCTCTCTCTCTCTTGAGAAAGCAAAAAAAAGTAAAAAAGAAAGAAAACAACCAAAAGATTTACATGCCCTGAGTATTTGTTTTAATCAAATGTTGATACAATACATAAGATATATCTTGACTAGGTCTATTATTATATTTTTGTGTTGTACAAGTTAGATTACTATTACAAAAAAGAATTCGATAATATAGTCAAATAAGGAAAATAAATGAAGCTAGTTAATGCTTAATATAAAAATCTATCAAGGT